TAACTTGACTGCAACTTTTGTACCATCTTGTGGTGTGCCCAGGTACACTTTGCCAAACCCCCCTTGTCCAATAACGGTCTCAAAGGAATTGGTAATACTAAGAAGTTGCATGTGATTAAAAGCACGGTTTTTTCGATTTTAGATTCCCGTCATTTTGAAATGATGTCGCTACAAATGGAAGAGAAATTCCAATAGCATCATGTATTAATGATTGAACTTGATTACTTTAGAAATAAACATATGTACAATAAAATGTTCAGACATTTTTAATTACTCACTTATGTCTCTTCTATAAAGCTATATTAATTACATCTGTGAGATAAATAAATTAGCTAAAAGCATTAAATTTAGAATTTTTTACAACTTCCCAAAATTTCTCTTTGATTGGTATAATTCCTTGTGTGAGGATTGTGAAACGTCCTATCTTTAACCTCTCAGAGTATGCATTCGTAAGTGTTATGGTTGAAGCAGATCATGACACAAGCCCATGGATTTAAAGATTCCAATTAATTACTCAAGTTCTATTCACTTGTTTAAGTTCCACATTACAGGCCTAATTTCAAAAATTCATAACTAATTTCATAAAAATCGTATTGGGGTGTTCTAAAATTCTACGGAAAGCTATTTTGATGCTCTTTAAGGGAAAATATCAAACTGGACTTACCTTACCCAATTCATACAATTTAATCAATAAATATTACTGTTTATTCATAAATCTGGAACTTCCAAATCTATGCCTAACTTTGGAATTTGTATCTCCTTGTGCACACATCCAATTTGAGGTGATCCACGTCTCATTTTAAAAGCTTGGGATGTGTACTATAAGTTTAAATCTTGTGAATTAACTCATTTATTTGATAGGTCAAATTGAGCTACAAACTCACTGCTCCAGGACCTACGTTTTGTCCCTTAACATCTCTTTACTTACTTATTCTTTTTATTTTTTGGCATATATAACAGGGCTTACTCTTTACTGTTTGTGCTCATACTTTTATACATGCCATAAGAATTATAATTAAAACAACATCGCATCGTTGGCATCCACAACATAAATTACATAATAGGAGAATTATGCATTGAATAATAATATCATTCATTAACATGAACAATTCTCCACTTTCTTCTCCTTGCTTCTCATGCCATTATTGCCCATCATTGATTGACCTAAATAGTTGGTTAGGAAGGGTGAGATTCAGGAGAATCTCAGTAGCAAACATACCATATTAATCATGCTAGATGAATGCTAATGCACTATATGCAACTTGCTTGTTCCTCTTGTTGGTTAGTGACATATTAGCATGCTTAAAGCTACCTTCTTGATGCATGGCCATGAAGACATAATCTACTCATCATAAATAGCATTTATAGCAGCCAATACATGTCACAACAACATTCAACATCATGTATAGCAACACACAAGTATACAACATCAAGCAATGATAATAGGTAAGTTCGCTACCTTGAACCTCAAGCTTTCCTCTTACTTTTACTTTGACTCTCTTGACTTTCCAACCATGTGGGCATTCGGTTAACATCACCAACTCCTCCTTGGATGTTCCAAGGTCCTAAATATAGTTTATAATGATCACACAATCTATTAGGACCAAGAGACTACATAATATTCAAGACCAGCTCTCTTGAACCTCAACCCCTTTCTTCTTGGTTTTAGGGTTTCTTTTTAGCTTTTCTAACATAAATCTCATCATTTCCATCCTTAAGATCTATTTCTTGTCAATTAGGACCACTTTATATGGCCATAGATTCAAGAAGATCAAATTTGAAAATTTTGCTTCGCGGGTACTGTTTCACATAGCAATTCCAGAATTTTTGCTCAACTTTGAAAATTCATAATTAATTCTAGAAAATCAAAACTGAGTGGTTCTAAGTCTCACTGAAAGCTCCTTAAGTTCTATTTAAAACAAAAAATAGTTTTAGGAACCAATTCTATGCTGAACAGTACCAAAATTGTACGGATTTGACACTCTTCTAATGGTTAAACACTGTTCCCAGATTTTAAACCCTAACTTTGAAAAATCACCATAAATCGTATACATATCCAATGAAGTGTTTCTACCCATGGATTTAAATTTTACAAGTGTACTTTAATCATGCCAAATTCTAGAATCAGATACAAAGAGTAACTTATTCGAAATAAGTATCAAGTTAGATGCTAAAACCATCACATACTTTGATCTTGAAGCTTGAATCTTGTTCCTTCTTCTTGGCCTTCACCCCTATATTTTTCTCTCTAAATTTTGGTAGAGTTTTCTCTCTACAAATAGCTGCCAAAATGATCTTCCAAGGTAGCATATTTATAACCAAAACTTTAGCTTGAATGGACTAAAATGCCCTTGGTGGCTAATAGAAAGAGTGAGAGCAATCTTAGAACTTTAAGTTGACTTTTATATCATCATTGCATCATCTTCTTACATCATCCTTACCTCATTCTTCTAGAAGGTGCTAGGTGTCACAAAAGTGGTGGAGGAGAAGGGAGATTAGATCCTAACTATTGGATCAAAAAACTTGTTCCCTAAGTTTCCTCTTAATTTAATTGGCCTACGTTTCTCCTGCTTTTTTGACAGCTTTCCGGAGCTCAGAAAATTTTTCTGTCTACTCCATAATTTCCCTTTTATTCTAAAGAATATTTATAAATTTTTTTCAGGCCATAACACTCCCTTTAAGCCTTGCATAAAATTATTTACTAAAATATCTTTTTATTGGCAAAACCGGCTTTTTAATTTATTAAAGCCAATTCAACTAGACTTTTGATTGCGAGACTAATTTTATAAATTAGTACAGCCTTTCAATCATTTAACCTCATTTTTTTATACATTTTTTATGTCTCTTGCTATTTCAAATAATTACCTCAAACGGTATATATTTTACCAACCATAACCTCATAAATCCATTTAAGCTACCTCAGGGGTATTTTCATCTTTTCTCTTCACAGAAGGGCCTTAGAATATTATTTCCCATTTTCTGAGATTTTCTTGAAATTCTCTGTATACTCTTCCATTTTTACCTCTGTTAGTCATAACTTTCTGAATTTACAGTTTAGTCTCTGCTTGGACTTAATTTCATACAATCCTTTCTTTGAGGTTTTCTATTTAACCATTAGCATGTTTCTACTCTTTTTTCTCTTTCTAGACCCTTAAGACTTTATTGGAGCCTCTAGCCTTGATTATCTTGAGCCCCTGAAAACTTTTATTTTGCAGTTTAGTCCTTAAAATTGCTTTGATTTCCGTTCTCATCTTTGGGATTTCTACTCAAAAAGGGTCTAGTAGCTTATTCAATTTAGGCTATTTCTGGTACTTCTATGCCAAAAGTTGGGATGTTACAGGATGGGAAAGTCATCATCAGCTAAGAGAGTGAAAAAGAAAGGGCATTTTTCCGAAATACATTATAATTAATGTTTTATTAAATTTTCTAAATGATCTTATATAAGTATAATAAAGGACTATTTCTATTGCATACTTGTACAAAGGAAAATTACGTTCCGGGTAATGCATCTGAAGTACTACCTCACTAATTAATCATCCTTAAATTAGCACTCTGTAACTTTTCATGTTTCATTCCTTAATTAACGGTTCTCCACTTAGTTATTGACAACCAGTACTCCTCATTTCTACTAATTACAATGATCTTTTAAATTGTAATAGCTGTAGTTACGTTAATTAAAAACAATAAATTTGTCAATACTTGACACTATTTTCTAGTAATATTCTTCAATGTAATTAATGTGAGAAAACCTCCATTAATTAATCAAATAACTTAACTTGCGCATATTTAATACGGGAGCGTTTTCGTCAAAAATAATAAATGCGGTAGACAGCTCAGAAAATGATCTCATAAAATGTTCTTATTTTTAAAAATGGAGGGAGAAGCTGGGCAGGGACTTTCTCATACTAGTAAATGATTGCGGTGACTGGTGACCGGTGAGAATTAATCCAAAAATGATGAATAGGAACGGGACAAGTAGTAAAGTAGATTAAAGCACGAAATTTGTAAAACAATAAATGCTTCCAAAGATTCATAAAGGAAAAATGGATATAAAGAAGACTGAGGGTGTAAGCTCACCTGGGATACCTTCCATATCACTTTGTGTTTTCTTTTTATGTTCGCAAAGCTTCACATAAATGCAGATTACTATTAAGAGGACTGCTACAGATGCAATAATTGGTATAATGGGCTTCTTTGGTTTGGTTTTGCTTTTGCAAGCACCCATCTGACAGAGACTTGGATCGGATTTCCATCCAAACTAGGGGAAAGGAAAGGAAAGAAAAGGCGCCAGTTAATAACTGCGAGTCGTATGATAGAACATCATCTGCATATCACTATGCAACTAGCTAGCATCTGGCAATACAGAAAACTGTTATCGGTATCCTAAATGAAGAAAATTACTAGTAATGTGTTTGAAACTACTCCTCCGATCCTAAATATAAGACCTATTTTATAATGTAATTTGTACTATGAAATGAGCCTTATATTTAGAACTGGAGGAATAAAATACACCAGTGAAAGAAGAGAGAATAGAAGAAGTTCTTCTGAATATTCTCAATCAAAGCAGAAGTGCCATGCTACGCAGACAATGCAACTGCAGATGAATGAATTAAGTGTGTTGCAATAAGCAAATTAAACTTCAATATTAAAGGATTGCCGTTCTTCTCCGTTAGGGCCTTTGGAATTGGACCAGTTAGATTGTTCCCTGACAAATTACTGCTAAAACATCACACGAGAAAATCACAAGATATTTGTTGAACTAGAAAGTATTATTCCTCTATATATATGCATGCTAAAGCATTGCAACGTACAGTAGTTTCAAATTGGGTAGTTTTCCTAAAACTTCAGGCATTTCTCCCGTCAACTGATTGTTGGACAAATCCCTACAACATGAGACATATTAATCAGAGGAGGTTATTGCATGGGGGTTATTATGCGTTGCGCAGACGATGAATGTAGACCCAAAAAAAAATTCAAGTCGGCATTCCTTAAATACTTACAGGGACTCCAACGATATGAGATCGGAAAATGAAGTATTTATCTGTCCAGTCAATTTGCTTGAGCTCAAGTTCCTGGTCATATGTGGTCAAGAATGGAAATTTCACTACAATAAGCAAGGAAGAAGAGAGATATTGGACGTCACAACAAATATGTAAACCACTTTACAGCTCCTCGAACAATATTGATTGAGATATTAATAAATTAACAGCATGAACAGCGGAATATACTTAGGTTATCAAACCTAACAAATTTTAAAACATCAAAAGACTACCCACAATGAAGTGATCCTGGGAATGTTGTCAAAGTAACTACAATTGAGACGGTCCCAACTAAAACTGCGTGGCATGCAGGGATCTCCTTGCCAATTTCTGGTGATTTTATATGCTTGTTTCACAATTCGCATAGCATTCACTGTTGAACATGATCAGTCAGAATCAAGGATCAGTGTGTAGAGACTGATGATAATTCATGTAAAAGAAGCTCCCATGCGAATTCGGTTAATTAAACATGAGAAAATTGTTGGGAGCATGGGGAGCTTTTGGGAGAACTTTAAGCAAATAATAAAAGTTCTGTTTTCAGTTTATTATGAAAATAACCAAAAAGAATGTTATTTTTTTTCTATTATGAACCCTGCTCCTAACAATTTGTTATGTTTAACTTAACTAAAACCACGTTCTTTTTCGTAATCTTAAATAATCTGGCGTTATTTTTTTCTATTACAGTGCTCAACACTTCTCTGGGTAATTTATAGTTTGACACATCGCCATCGATCGGAACCGATGTGGTGATTTGCTCTGAGTTTTCGATCTCTCTGCGGAGGAACCATGACCTACCGTAGATATCATCTGGGTATCTGCATTATCATTTGAAGAACAAACCATGCTTAATTAATCCAGTCTGAATGAATAAATACTAGTAACGAATAGATTGAAATAGTTTATGTGATGAAAGTATAATCTGCTTTAGATGTTCCAAAAGAAGAGCGCGTCATGAGGCCTAGCGGCGAGAAATCGGAATCGTTCAGATATATAGAATCCTTGAGACGCCAGAGTTGGAGCAACGAAATGAAGGGTATTCCACGGCCAATGTTGATAACACACACATCAACATTGTTGATTCGAGAAACATGAATGGCCTCCATTCTTCTAAGGTCACTGTTATTACCCGATCTTGTCCAGAAATTGACGCCAAGATGGAACTGGAAGACTGGAGCAGAATTATTGTAATCATAATTTCCATACTTGTAGTAAGCTCTAACGAGAAAGTTGTTGTTTTTGCCTTGTTTAGGTTTGAGGGTATAGCAATTCCTTTTCCCTTCTCGAAAACTTCTCAGTGTTCAGCTGCTGCCAAACCTGCCCATCGTTACTGTCAAGGGCGTAGTCAGAAGATAACTTATATATCTGACCCGAGTCCACAACACTTCCGTCACCTGCCATATAATAAAACTTATTCTCGTCCCAACTTGCTTAGGTTGCTCCTCAATCAATGCCTATCCCCTCTGTCGATATGAAATGTTATGTAGGTTGTAATTAGAATTGAAATAAGAAAAATGACAAACATGCATTTAAAATTACAAAGACCTAAATCAGGATTTTACTGGAACTTTGAAATGTTGGTAGGAAGATTTTGAGTGCCCCTAAACATCCCAACTCGTCAAAGTTTCGACCTCGGCGACCCTGTTGGTCGTAGGCAAAGCTTATATTACAACTATTTAAATTTTCGAAACAAGAGAAATAAAAAAGCAAAACTAGAGCGCTACATAGAAAAACCAATGTATAGTCGTCAATAAGTAAATTTAATAAATAGTAAATAGTAACATATGTCTTTTCCACGAATTTATTAAGTATGGAAGTTCCTAATACAATTTTTGAATCATCAAGACAACAGTAGCAAATAGCAAAGTAAATGTAGTAAATAGTTTGCACTATGGGTCTTCTCCATAAATTTATTTAAATGTGAGAGTTCTTAATACGTTCTTCAAATTTTCAAAACAAGAGTACTAAATAATAAGACTAAGATAATAAATATAGAATAAATGTGGTATATAGTCAACAATAGAAGTCTTCTCGATAAATCTATTTAAATGCCAGAGTTTCTGATATATTTTTTGAATTTTCGAAGTAAGAGTAATTAATAATGAAGTAAATGTAATAAATAGTGAACTTACTACTTTTTTTTTTGGGTAATAACTATGCAGTATTTTAGTTTTCCTATTGTTTCGTTACTACTTTTATTTTAGAAACGCTCACATTTGAATAAATTTATGGAGAATGATATTGTTGCTTACTATTTTCTATGTTTACCTTGCTATTGATGATTCTTTTTTCTTTTTTTTTAATAAAGAGAGTGGAGCCCCAGGACTAGCTATCCATTACTCCTACGTTATGACAGTCTTTCACAAGTAATCCATGAATACATTACGGAGTAGTACTGGGGGGGTGGAAGCCAAGAATGGTGCCCAAAGCCTCTTTGCTAGCTTGTCCACAACGCTAGTTGTTTTCGCGGGGGGTATACTCAAGAGCTACTTCCCAGTCTCGTGTTATCAATGACTTGATTTCTCGTAGAATATCCTCATCAGGGTGGGCCTTCAATGTCCTCCTGTTCTATGCGCTTAAGGGTCTCTTTTGCGTCAGTGGCTGCTATAACCTTTCTATGCCCGCCTTCCCAAGCCATTTTTAGACCGAGTAGGAGGGCCCAAAGTTCTGCAAGCAAACTATCTCCTCCTTGAGTGTGCTGCATGAAACCAACAACCAGGTTGCCAGAGACAGTTCTCAATACCCTACCACTTCCCATGTTATGTTGCCGAGCAGCGCCATCTATGTTCAATTTAACCCAACCAGGTGGTGGTGGTGGTTTCCAGCCAATCGCCCGATCGTGGATTAGCTGTCTGTTGAGGTTGCTCCCAGCTAATCTCTTCTTCGCTTGTTTTTGACAAGCCAGGATCGAGGTTGCTCGGATGATGATGTGATCAATAGGTCCATCCTTTCCTTCAAAAATTCGCTCATTCCGTCTTCTCCACACCAGCCAGCAAATAGTGCAAAACAAGTTACCCTAAGTCTCCCCATGTTCTTGTCTCCGAGTACTGATGTTTGCAGGTCGCAATTGAAAAAAAAAAAAAAAAAAAAAAAGCGTCGGCCCCAGGGTGAGATGAGCTGATTCCAGAGTCTGTGCGTGTCATGGCAATCATGTAAGACGTGTAGGAGGGACTCATTACTGGTGTGGCATATAGCACAACCCTTGTCCTGGCCCACCCCTCTTATCACTCTTTCTTCATTGGTCAACAGCCTCTCATGCAAAGCAAGCCAAATAAATGTTTTGCGGCGAGAGAGGATGTCGAGTTTCGAAACCCGTGGCCAGATGGGATCCTGAGGGTTAGTCTCGTTTGTTATGGCAGCGTAGGCTGACTTAACAGAGAACTTGCCATGTCTGTTGTGTCTTCAGCCTATTCTTTGGCTCACATGATCCACCTCAATTCCCGCCAGCACCTCACTCCACACACTTTTGATCCCCTTCTAGGTGTTAGATCCCCATCTGTTCTGATCGATAGCCGGTATGATGTCATCCCCGTATGTGTACTTGCTTCTGACTACTTTGACCCACAGGTCATCGCGTCGGTGTACCAGGTTCCAACCAAGTTTCATCATGTAAGCTTGGTTTTGGCAGCGCATATGCTTGAGACCAAGTCCTCTGTTTCCTTTTGGTTTGCAGACCGTATCCCATGCTAACATATGCACTTTCCGCTTTTCATCAGATGACCCCCAAATAAATCCCCTATTGTTTTTATCGAGGCTTTCGCACACGCCCATTGGTAACAAGGCCGTCTGCATGGTGTACCCAGGTATTGTTGAGGTGACCAAGGCGACCAAAGTGGTCCGTCCTGCTAGCGATAGCGATGTGGCTTTCCATCTGTTGAGTCTATGTCGGACTTTGTCTACAACATCTTGATAGCTCTCCTTGCCCGATCGCTGGTGGTGTAACTTAACACCCAAATATTTACCCAGGTCCGCTGCCACCTGGAATCCTAGAGTCTCTCCGATCTCTATTCGACGCGTGTGATTCACGTTTTTTGAAAAGAAGACCCTAGTTTTCGTGGTATTTACTTTCAAGCTAGAACTGGTGCAGAACTTGTTGAGGCACTCTATGACACCCTCAGCTTGCGTTGCCGAAGCTTCCACAAAAAGCACAATGTCATCAGCAAAGAACAAATGGGAGAGAGGGGGCCGTTCTTGCATAGACAGATCGGAGTCCATATCTTCTCATCAATTGCCTCCTCTATGAGATGTGCTAGCCTTTTCACACAGGGGACGAACAAATATGGCGAGAGAGTGGGTCACCCTTAGACGGCCTAAAGGTGTCGGCCTTCTCCCCTTTCCATAGCAATTGCATGCTCGGCGTGGACACGCATTGATGGATGAGATTGATGATATTTGGGGGGGGGGGGGGTTGTATCTCCTGCAAACAATGATTAAGGATGCCCCAGTTTATCCTATCATAGGCCTTCTCAAGATCAATTTTAATTGCCATGTAGCCTGAGCCATGATGATGTTATCTGAGCTGTGCCTTCCGGTGACAAAACTGCACTGGTTTGGGCTTATGATATGAGGGAGCACTAATTTGATGCAGTTGGCTAGGACCTTCGTGATTGTCTTAAACACCACATTTCACAAACTTATGGGGCGTAGGTCCTTGATTCCCTGGGGGTTCCTTCTTAGAGGTCAAGATGATAAAAGTATTATTAACACGTCACATCCTCAGGGTGGCTCCATATCTGTTTGGCAAGTCTATAGACTGAGTTTCCCACGGGCTCCCACTGACTTTGGTAGATAAGGGCATTCAGCCCATCTGGTCCAGGTGCCTTTAGTGCATGCTAAAGATGGCTTCCTTGATTTCCATCTCTGCAAGGTCTCGTCCTATCATTCTGCGACCATCCTCAGCAATCCTTGGGTACGAATATCTGCACTCCAACTGGGGTCTATGCTGCTGCTCCTCTATGTAGAGGTTAGTAAAAAAGCTAGTGACCATTGTCGTGATTTGGTCCACCTCATATATCCAGTTGCCATCGTCATACCGAATAGCTCCGATGTAATTTTTCTTTCTTCCAGCGTTTGCTCAACGGGGAAGTATTTGGTGTTTTATCTCCATTAATCTGCCACTCACTGCGAGCCTTTTGAGCCCATATGAGCGTGTCTTGAAGCATCACTTCTTCCAGCTCTTGCCATAGATCCTTTTGCAGCTTCACAAGCTTATCTGATAGTGGGTGTTTTGTTTCGACCTTAGCTATCCCCTCCAAATGTCGAATTAAAATCTTTTTCCGTCGATCGCTAAATCCAAAACTCGTTTATTCCATTCCACGTAGGCATTTGTAAAGTTCTCTATCGTTTCATTCCAGTTTCTGTTCTCAATCCATTTCTCTTGCACGAGCATATTAAACCCAGCGTGTAGGGCCCAAGCTGCAATAAAGCGAATGGGACGACTCCCTTGACGCTGGCTGTCAGACTCGTTGAGCTTTAGGAGAAGGGGGCGATGATCGGATTTGAAGAAAGGTAAATGGGTGCATGAAGCATTGGGAAACGCATCCATCCACTCACTGGTGGCCAGCACACGATCGAGGCAACTTTCGGAGTCAACTCTTTTCCACGAAAAAGCAGGCCCAACGAATCCCATATCCGAAACTCTAGCCTCTAGAACAAATGAATTAAACGCACAGTCTGGTTCAATAGTACAGTTGGGTGATTGTCGTTCCGAGGCTAGGAGTGTTGCATTAAAATCACCTCCTATGCACCAAGGTCCGTCTATATGATCTCTAAGCTCCCCCAACTTCTGCCACAAGGCCCGTCGTCGTTGACTGTTCGGGCTAGCATAGACTACAGTAAGCCACCATCTACTACTGTCATGCTTCTCAATACAGAGATCAGATAGACGGGCCTTGGTGCCTTGATGATTCTGATTTCTATATATGCAACTCTTATTTTAAAAATTTGCGAAATGTAACATAAGCTTTACCGACGGCGGACAGTCCATGGAGCTCAAATGGTGGTACGTAGGGGCATTAAGAACAAAGAGGTGGACTGAGATGTCATTTAAAAAAAAGCTCAGGGCATAAAGGTCATTTAAAAATTTCAAATAATTGATTCAGCTGGACTGATTTGTTATTTTTAATATTGGAATTGGATTTTGGATTTCACAATTTTAAAGGTATTTCTGTTTGTCATTTTTCCATTGAAATATGCAACATTTTGAAATGAATTTTTCAAACATCTTGCAAATAATCATATTATATTTCTAGTTGTTACAATTGAGTCTCACTTATTAAAGCACATAGAGGGAAAAATTGAAGAAACAATTAAACATTAAAAGAAA